GGAAGTGACTGGCTCAAGGTCACCCAGTTTGCTTTGTGCCCTGGGCAGAATCAGAACCCTCACTCTTCCGTTTTCTAGCAAAAGGTCCTAAACTAGTGCTTCCCATAATATTTTTTCTTCCATTACCCAAAACTCTGTATCAGAAAGTTCTTTTTAACTCTTTATCAGAAAGTCCTTATTTAAATGTCTCTGTTGTTGATTGCATGTCACTACCCAAAGAAAAAACACTTTTATCTAATTTGGGGTAATTTGCCCAGGTTTGGGAAGCATTGCCTTAATCACTACACCAAACTGCCTCTTGAAGTCAAATAATAGGTTGTCAGGCAATCTATTATTTGCAAGAATTAAATATATAAAGCCCTCACACTGTCATTTAAAATCATTACAATGATCACAAGAAGTTTAGTTTACTTTACTTTACTTTATTGTCATTGCGCCTTGTACAATGAAATCAAACACCATCTTCAGTGCACATCATGACCATGAAAATAAACACAAACACACATCCTTCACACTCCACACATTGAACCGAAAACCCCAGACACCGCACCAACACTGCACTATACAGTAGAATTCAACAGAGCTACTGCCCTGGGATAGAAGCTGATTTTCAGCCTATTTGTCCTTGTTTTTATTATTCTGTACTGTCTGCCAGATGGTAATAGTTCAAAAAAATGGTGCCCAGGATCTTTGAGAATGTTTTGAACTGTCTTAAGGCAGCCGGAGCTATAAAGCTCTTCCAAAGAGGGGAAAGGGCAACCAATGATCTTCTGGGCAATGACGTTAACCCTCGAGTGCTTTCCTATCTGCCACTGTGCAATTGGCAAATCATACAGAGGTGCAGTAAGTTAAAATGCTCTCTATGGTTCTTTCTAAGGCAGAACCACTAGTGAAAGAGTGTCTTCTCTAGTACAGAGTGTGACCTTTTCAACCAGCAAAGTTTCTGAGGCTGTAAGCCATATACCGTAGAAGCATGCATGAGGTACTTCAGGCAAAGACTGGTAATCAGGTATGTAATCATGACCTTAATGCTGGATCTGTAGCACCAAAGATGAAGTTTCTTATTGTAAAAACTTTATGCACTGAATACAGGATCCTACCTGGTGCCAGGTGGCGAAGTTGACCTTGTCGGCAGCATTGAAGGCCATAATATTATATTTCTTGGAGGTGCTTCTTTGGTAACAGAAGAGGAAAACGAATGTTAGATTAAGATTGGTGGCATCCAAATGCAACCTCTTCATTCAGTCACATGAACTCACATGGTGACTTTGGGCCAATAATGATCTCTTAGCCCAGCCCACCTAACAAAATTGTTATGGGGACAGAACTGTAGAAGGAAATGCTACATAATTACTCTGACCTCTTGCAAGAAAGAAACTAAAACAACCCTAATAAATCTTTCAGTTTAGATACAGAGCACAGAATTGGTAAGTTTCCTCCAACAGGATGTAGAGGTGAATAATGGGCTAAGATTTAAATCAATAAACAATAAGATTATCAAGGGCTATGATTAGTTTTGATGGTTATATATTATCTGTGATAATCTATGGGAGACCTCTCATTGTTGCATTTATGTCTTGGTTATGGACTTCCCAAAGACATCCAGCTTATTGTAAGGGGCAAATATGGACTAGTTAATCTTTGGTCTTACCCAAAACAACACTTCTTAGCAGCCCAATTGCTACATATAAAGGCCACTGGATTTGGCCTTTGCAAGGTGTTCACCACATGTAAGACACTTATCTACGTTCTACTTCCCTAAAAAAGCAGCTTTGAGCAGAGGTTTGTCTGGTGGTCTTCGTACTGAGCAGATCATGGTTGATCTCCCAGAAGCTAAGCAGAGCTGATCCTTGAGAGTATTTGAGAATTATAGACCTCATGGCTGGGGGTGGGCGGAAGTCAATCTAGAAGAAGCCAGCAGCAAACTTTGTCTAACACTGCCAAGTATACTGCATGACCTCAGTTGCTTCTGCATCAGCTATGGCTTTGGTCCCCCTGCAGGAACTGGCTGACTGGCCCTTCCTGTGTTATTTGCAGTAGAGACAAACTAATCCCATTTTCACTTTACAGAATCCACTGGCCAGCCACAGGTGCAGCTGAACTGGTGGCTGGGACAGAGTGATTCTGATTTGTATTTGATGTACACCAGAAGGGGAAGATATGTGAAGTAAATAACTTTCCTACCAGCCATCGTTCCAGATTACGGTTAAGACTTAGCACTTGTACTTGAGTCTGGAGAGGTTTGAGGATGCCAAACAAATGTGTCACAGAACATACTGAGGGAGACCCTTGTCCAGTCATAATGATGAGCAGACTGCTGAGGATCTATTGTTCCTGCATGTCATGTATTGGAACTAGAGATTTTTTAGTATAGGTATTCCTTGAAACATTTGAGCCCAACATTTCTGTTGCTAAGTGACATAGATGTTAAGTGAATTTTGCCCCATTTTACGACCTTTCTTGACATAGTTGTAAGTGAATCACTGTAGTGGTTAAGTGAATTTGGATTCCCCATTGACTTTGCTTGTCAGAAAGTCACAAAAGGTAGTCACTGCAACCATCATGAGTCAGTTGGTAAGCAATTGGAGTTTGATCATGTGACAATGTGGTTGCTGCAACAATTGTATGAAAAACGGTCATAAATCATTTTTTTTCAGGACCATTGTAACTTCAAAAGGTCACTAAATGAACTGCTGTAAGTTGAGAACTACCTGTACTGCGTTGCAAGACAAAGTATAAAAGACCATCAAAGGCTCCGAGTACCAATTGTGTCACAAAATAATGTTGCAGGCTGTCTAAAAAGCTGTAAGAGAAAGCCTTTTGGAAACAACAATTGGGTTTGACAATGTTGTGTTTCTGTGACCGCAGCATAGAGGTCACAGCTGCTAGGTAAAATGCCAGTCAGAGGAAACCTCTTAGTACACCTGTATGCCCCTCTCTGGCATATATGAGTTCAAGAGCCATCCCTTTATCATAAGCTGTTACGTGATGCAGGCCTTCCAGTTCATTTAACTGCTCCACATTGCAGAATCCTTTTCTATCCTAACATTTCATCACCCCAGCCCCTCATCATTTCAAAACCAGAGGTACAAGTAGTGCTGTTCATTCAAGGTTGCAGATTTACTTAATTAATTGGCCAGTGCGGCCAATACATTTATACCTGAAATGGCAAAAGTAGCAAGCAACTCTTCTATTACTTGCACTTGTTTAATATTAAGTTGTATCTGACTGGATTATTACAAAATGTTAAAATTATAAGAAAAAGTTAAAAGAATGGAAATGAAATGAAATGCTGAGAGAGAAAAAAAGTGTACTGACTTGGGAACCCGGACGACATATTCAGTTACTCCCTGGTTGCTGGTTCCCTAGGAAAGAGAAAGAAGCTACATATATACAAAGTGGCTGGCCAAGTTACCTCAATGCATGTCAGTAGGATTGTTACATGGGTATTAAAGGCACAGAGTTGCATTGTGAAAATAAAATATGTGGTTATTTAACCAATATATTCTGTCCTATAGTAAGTAAAGAGCAGCATGGAAGGTCACGACTCAAAAATAATATAAAATGTCCAAGGTTTAAGACAGAGTATATTCCCATCCCAACAAGTCCATCCACTTATCAGTGAGTAAGATTGATCTGATAGTAGGCTTTTGACAATCTCAGAAATGCATGGAAAGGGAGAATTGTGTTGAGGAAGGTCTGTGGCCCATTCCATAGACAACAGATTTGGATTCATCACAAAAATAATTGTATCTCTTTATTATTTTTACAAATAACTCAAAGTGGTGAACATATCCAAAAAATCTTCCTCCTACTTTCCCCACATTGACAAAGTAAGAAAATAAAGATGGCATCAAGTCCAGAAATCAAAACCACAAATAACAGGAATCATATAGACCAGGGGTCCCCAACCACCGGTCCGCGGACCAGTACCGGTCCGTGGAACAAGTCCTACCGGGCCGCTGGTTTGCTGGGTGCTGCCATCTTTTTTTGATGAAAAAGTGCTTCCGGTGAGGTCACTGGAAGCACTTCTTCATCAAAAAAAGATGGCGGCGCCCAGCTAATGCCGGTACCGGGCCGCGCCATAAAAAAGGTTGGGGATACCGGGCCGCGGCATAAGAAAGGTTGGGGATCACTGATATAGACAACTACATGAACCTCTGTGGTGCAGTGGTTAGAGTGCAGTACTGCAAGCTATTTCTGCAGCCAACTGCCTACAATTTACCAGTTCAAATCCCACCAGGCTCAAGATTGACTCAGCCTTCCATCCTTCCGAGGTGGGTAAAATGAGGACCCAGATTGTTGGGGGCAATATGCTGACTCTGTAAAACCGCTTAGAGAGGGCTGTAAAGCACTATAAAGCGGTATATAAGTGCTACTTCTTACTTTAAGTTACCTGCCAGGAAGTGCTGGGATTCATTTTTTATTTTTTTTTACTATCGGTTCTGTGGGCATGGCTCAGTGGGCATGGCAGGGGAAGGATACTGTGAAATCTCCAGTTAGAGGTGGTATTTGCTGATTCTCCAAACTACTCAAAATTTCTGCTACCGGTTCTCCAGAACTGGTCAGAACCTTCTTCTGAATACCATCTCTGCTGCCAGGGCACATCAGACAGGTGAGCTTCAGTTCAGTTCTTCCAATACCCTCCAGATGGTTTGAGCAATGACCCCCTTCCTTTTTCAATAAAATGGCCGAGGGTTGAGGATCATGGGCACTGCAGTAAAACATCTGGTTGGGAAGGCTAAACCAGATGAAGTTCCGAGTGGAATTTTGGACAGTGGCATTCTAATTATGAATGGCCTCTGTGACCTCACAGTATTGAGGATTCCAACCCCCTCCCCTCAAAAGTAACATAAGAAGGAATCAAGATAACCCTAGCCTCAAATGTCGTTTAGCCATATCTGACTCTTGAAAATATAAACTCACCAAAGAAGTCATTTCTGCTGATGTTTGAACTGATATTCAGCTACACTCTCTTTTTCCACCGCAGATTCTACAGAAGAAAGAGGCAGAGTCAGGTTTTATAAAAGCCTGGGAAAACAGATCAGAGAAAGTCTAAAATGGCAAGTGAGCAAAGAAAAGCAAAGGGGCGCTTTAGCTGGGATTGCCTCGGAGAGCCCCTTTAAATAGAGGCTGAATGCGTTCACGCAGAAAAAAGCTCTGAAAAGGGAGCAAAGCGGCACAGAGCTTCTGGTTTTTATTTTTTTTATTCCCCCACCCCCCACCCCCTAAGATTACATATCGCAGACGGCCGGTGATCGTGTGCAGGAAGCTTCTTTGCACTGAAAGGTAACATTTCTATTTTCTTTTTCAGGAGCATTTTCGTAAGACGCAAATAACATAAAATAAGTTATACGAACCAAATCCAGCTCGGGGACACCCCTTCCTCTCCTTTCTGGCTAAAATGTTTGCCCCAGAGAGGAGCTGGGAACCAGGATACCAAAACCTAACCGGCAACTAGAGAAAGGAGATCTCCGAGCCCGGACGCCTAAAGCCCCAGCTAAGCCGGCTCGATTCCGGAGCGGCTAGAGACAGAAAGCGGGCACTGGAAGGATGTTGCGATCCATCCCGGAGGGGAAAAGATATCTAGGATTCCGAATGTCTTGATCGATCGGCAAGGCGATGGCAGCCGAAGACGGGATCAATCGGGTTCTCCCCACCCCCACCCGCAGCTTCCCTTCCCTTCTCCACCGATCCCTCGTTCTTACCCACCTAAACAGTGACAGCCAGATCCTCAAACTCGCATGCGCAAACCCTGGCGGCCGCTAAGAAGGAAGTAGACGTTGTGGTTGCTAATAAACTTCCGGCATCGCAACGCGGTTCCGGGACGAGACTCCCTGTGAGAAGGCCGGCTGAGCGTTGTTTTCGTTTTGATATTGGTCTACGGAGACCCAGTATTAAAGCGACCGTCAACGTAGCTGGTTAAGGGTCTATCTACCTGACACGCCAGGGAGCAAACAGGCCTATAGCGGGCAGAGTGAACGCAAGGACTAGAAAACGGGTCTCTCTCATCCTTTGCAAAAGAAACGTGCCAGGTGCGCGCGTCGATCCCTTTAAGGGCGGTGAGAAAGGCCAAGACCCACCACCACCACTTGCGGAAACATAAGGGGGCTGGACTGGTTTCCCCAGGTTGAAGCCTAAGCCTGTTGCATGTAGTGACTGGACCGGACGCTGTCGGCTGCGCTTGCCCAGCCTGGTTTAGGGTTAGGATTAGTCCTAGATTAGACTTTGTTGTTCTATGTTTGAGCCAGAAAGGCGGAAAATGGATTCCTGGATTCCAGCTTTCTGGATACTTGACCAGAACAGTGGAGAAGATGGCTCTGGCCCAGTTGGGAAGTAGTACCCAGAAAGAGTTTGGGTTTGTAAAGCGCCTCCTAAAAACTGGCTGCTCAGGAAAGGTCAGGTCAGATCTGATCTGACTAAAGAAAAAAGTGGGAAATGGCAGAGCCTTCTCTCTGGAAGGGGCTTTGATTGGGAATCCCTATAAGGTACTTTCTGGGCAAAAGTCAGAGGTAATGCCCAAAAGGTGCCTTGGCAGTCTTTAACCCAAATCACTATGATTACCAAGATGTTTGATGGGAGAATGTAAACATAAGGGTTGGGGTCAAATAAATGCCAGGTGAGCTAAGGAAACTTTCATGTCAGATTGATATTAAACAACCTCCCCAGGAGTGCAACCTGGGTTTAAGGGGCTTCAACTCAGTGTTGATTCCTGGGACAATCTTCACTTTCCTGGGACAATTTCCTGGGACAATCTTCACAGTTTGCAATGGTTTGCCCTTGCCTTCTTCCTAAAGCTGAGAAGTTCAACCATAACAACACAAGAGCACACAATAGATACAAACTCAAAGTTAACCGCACCAAACTTGATTGCAGGAAATACGACTTCAGCAATAGAGTGGTCAATGTCTGGAATACTCTACCCGACTCTGTAGTTTCTTCCCCAAACCCCAAAAACTTTAACCTTAGACTGTCTACTATTGACCTCACCCCTTTCCTAAGAGGTCTGTAGGGGGCGTGCATAAGCGCACCAATGTGCCTACCGTCCCTGTCCTATTGTTTCTCTTATTCTTTTATTTTTCTTATATGTACCCATTTCATGTATTCACAACTATGTATACACTTATACTTATTATCTTGTAAACAATTGGCAAATCAAATAAATAAAATAAAAATAAATAAAAATAAATAAAGTTGCCCAGCTTAGCTTTATGCCCAAAGGCATAACTCATGGTCTCCTTTTCTAGTCCAGCAGTAAGAGGAAGGGTCTCTTAAGCAAATAGATAAACATCACTGGGGGTGAAATTCAACCCTTGCTTCTAACACAGTGGTTAACGTGGTCTTTTCTTGTAATATGTACGCCTAATCGAGATTTTATACAACAGTTTGCAGATCAGCAACACAGCTGTGTAAGCATTAGAGAACAGAGAAGCTGCAGTTTTGCCCATCTCACGTAAACTTCTGATTTGTTCGTGCTTCCACTCTGCTCTTGTTCTGTGGAGGTTTGCAGCCTGAACCTGAAGTTGCAGCTTTCCAATTTGAAAGGAAAATCTCTTTGGTTTCCATCTATTGTCAGAGTATGAGTGGAAACGCTTGTTCCTTAGCGGAAGTCACGGGGTGGGTCTTATGAGCTCTTTAAGCTAGCGTGCGGTAGCCTCGTTTGGCAAGCAGGGTGGGGAGATGGGAAAGAAGAGAATAACTTTACTGTATTTAAAATATGGCATTGTAATTTCATGCTTTGCAATAGGAATTCATGATATATAGGTCAAGAATTAGCTCCCTTTCAAAGGAGCATGGGGGTAAACAGATGTTTTTAGATCCGCTGAGTCTCATCCCCTATTCGGCGCCAGTAGATAATTGAACTCAGGACTTACATTTTAATTATTACACAATGCGGGTTTGTAGGTATATCTCCTAAATCAGTTACAGACATATACAAAACAGTTCATGTATAAGAACTGGTGGAAGCAGAAAATAGACAAAGTAATTAAAAAAATGAAGCTAACATGCTCTGTGACTTCAAACAGACATGTACACATATAACATCTCAGACTTAACTGTTCAAGGGAAAAAAAGTGGCCAGTGGGTGAGGCACTACCTGGAGACAGCAGAAGAGAAAAAGTCACAAAGTAACAAAGACCTGCAAATAGAAATTGAAGGACTGTCTACTTGATATCCTTTGTTTCTTGAGAGTTGGGCCAAGAAGAAAGGTACTACTTTGTGGACACAGTTTAGTTGCAACAGTTTACCATCCTTCCAGCTTTGCTTGCTCCAAGTTTGGTTAGTCATGACATCAGATGTCTGTGACATCAGAAAGAGATCCCAGGGGAGTCACTTTTCAGCTAAGCTGAAATGACCAAAATAGTTTTGTACATCAACTTGCAGTCTGCTGGACTGGTGCCTTGTGACCCTGGGATGAGTCTTCAGAATGGGGATTTGCCAGGGCAGTCTTCCAAAATCCACTAAACCTTTGAAGCATGAACTAAAAGGTACCCAGTTTCTTCCTTTCTGCATATGTTGTAATATTTAGAATAGTATATCAGCAAGCTTCTAGTCATCAGGCTTCCTTTGATTCACTTTCCTGGCTTTGAGCAGGGAGGGCCATTAGATTGAAACCTTCCCCAACACCCAATACACAAGGGATTTCTGTAAGCTTCAGCAGAATAATTATGCAAGTTCTAATTCATTCAGGAGGGCTTGATAAATCTCGGGGAATCATGCAGTACATGGGTGAAGCTGGTCGGTCCCATTTGGCTCTTCTGTATGCCACTTGATGCTGCTGCCTCTCCAGCATTGGTTCTTTAGCAAACTTCAGATTTACATGCGGAAGTAACTTCCTGTGTGTCGCTTCTGATTCAAAATAAATGGCATGGTGGAGTGTGACCCAGTATATTTAGGGAGACGGCTGGATCTGAATTTCTCTGACTGGAGAAACCCAAATCCAGATGTGTCAGAGAAGGACTCAGATCATTCCCAGCCATTATTATAAAGGCTGTTTTGGAACAGTTCTGTTCCATCTGCTTAATGACGGGTGAACAAAGAAGAAAACAAAGCCTGCAAACTAACAGCAACCAATTCTTTTTCCTTGGAGCTTTTAAATAACTTTATGGTCAACCTGTAACTAACCAAAATGACACCAGTGTGTGCATATATATTTAGACTCTTCAGAATTCTTCATTGTATCAGAAATTTTCTGAAATTCAGGACAGAGGGAGAAGCAACAGAGTCCTAAAATTAGACCAGATGTTCCCACCCTTGAGATTCAGAGTTGAAATTTAAGTCCTGATATAAGACCGGTAGACTGAACATACTTGTCAGTGGTTAGTAATATTTCACTTAGCATTCAGGTAAAGGAAAACTGATACATCTTCCTCAGGACTATTTGTGGTCCACATGGCTTGCACACCCAGTATCAGCAGCTACACCCCAAACCTTGAAGAATTGCTATTATGGGAATATAAATTACTGGATGAGAGTGACCTCACTTTAAGGTAGCTTTATGTGCAAAAAAACCACATTCCACTGGATTGCTCACTCCGGCTAGCTGTATGCTACATTTAATTGTATTGAAAATCTATAAGACCCTCTGTCCTTCTTGGTAAGCTGTTAGGGGTCCCACTTTGCAAAGTGCAAAGAAACTGTCAGAGGAACACATCCTTCCATGTGACTGTCTTTTCTTTTGCTGCAGAAAAGTTGAAAGACTCTATCATCATCTTTATGATAGGAGGTCCTGGCTCTGGTAAAGACGTGCAGAGTATCCGGCTAGCTAGCAAATACGACTTCTCCCATGTGGCTATTGGAGAGCTGCTGTGGGAAGAAGCCAGCAGAAATACTAGCAAAAGCAAAGCCATTAGGGACATCCTGATGAAAGGGGCTTTGGTGCCCTCGGTAAGACCCTACATACAGCATATCTATTCTGAATAGAATCCATTTTTATTAAGAACATTTTAAAAACCTGGACTAGATGTAAACTCTGCTTGCTTCCTACTGAAATGAGTACAAATTATCATATTACGGAGCCTCGGTGGCGCAGTGGTTAGAGTGCAGTAAGTACTGCAAGCTACTTCCATTGCAATTTGGCAGATCGAATCTCACCAGGCTCAAGGTTGACTCAGCCTTCCATCCTTCCGAGGTGGGTAAAATGAGGATCCAGATTGTTGGGGGAAATATGCTCACTCTGTAAACCGCTTAGAAAGGGCTGTAAAGCCATATGAAGCTTTATATAAGTCTAATTGCTATTGCTGTTATTAAATTAAGGACTATTTATTTTAATGAGACTGATAAAAGTGTGGATTCAGTCCACTCTATATGTTGCATTTTAAAGCTCAGTATTTTCAGAGGAAGAAAATGATTTCTGGAATAACTCACAGCATGATTATAATTACATAAGCAATATATCTGAGCTAATATTCAGTTCATCTTTCATTCTCATCCCGAAGACGGAGGTGTGTTTTGATGTCTTCAGTGAACCTACCCATATCCATGTGTACTAATTTCACTGTCGGTTAACATGCTTATTGCCATTGAGAGTCTGGAAATTCTCAGTCAACCAGGTCATGGTTGTCCCAAAGGTGCTTTTTTCAAAAGGCAACTGGACTTTTGTTTTTCCTTGAAGTTATTTCTCATCCAAGAAGCTTCTTCATTCAGTTCTATTATTGCCATTATTTACTTCTATTTGGATGTTAACTGAGATTATTTAGAATCATTTACCATAGTGCTTGACATGTCAGATTTTGAGTTAAATAAAACCTTTGAAATTCAGCATATTCTTTGGCAGAATTTGGGTTAGTAAAGGATGGCTGATTATAATTTTATTTTGAGTTTTTTTGAGATCAGTCCAGCAATATTTGTCAATAATAAATTTCTTCGCAGCCACCTATCTTTTCTTAGTTAAGATAGCAGGTGGATCTCCCTCAGAAGTTTTGTTATTAAATGGAAGCAACTAGAATTCCAACCTTAACTAAAGACCGTGACTGGGACAATGGTGTCACACAGTGGCAAATGGGTTATAACAGAGGGTTTTTAAAGGCTTCTTTTTAGTTGTGGAAAGCCAAACTGATGACCTATGTGCAGTTTGTCTTGAAGAATAGCGAGGAATTGTGTTCTGTGATTGGGTAGCTTTCTATCAGATTTAAGAGGTCAAACTCTGGAGGAATACTACAAAAAAGGAGACGTGAGCCCAGCACTGCTCATTCTTGCTGTAATAATCACCAAACTACAAGATGCAACCCATGATACAATCATGATAACGTATTTGAGATCTCATTGAACTTCAGGCAAAAATCAACACAGGTTTTAAGAGATAGACAGTTCCATCCCATGCAGCTGTTCAGAAAGACAATAGGCAAATGAAATCAGAATCAGAAATCTAGAATCAGAAATACTGAGTATAAAGAAACGAGGAGTATAAAGCCATTGTGGAACAATACTGGAAATAGTTTGCATACCCAGCTTGTGGGTTTCCTGGAAAGATTTGGCTGCTTACAATGGGAGTATTGCTGAAAGTAATAATGGGGTGTCATGCATGTAGGCACCCCGTTAAGATGATAAGGGTCTGCGATTCTTTATAGCCACTTTCTGATTCTGATTTTCTAGGACTATGCTAGGAGGAAATTGATACAAACATTGCATTTTTAGGCAATAATAGCCTTTAGAGGCAATGACAGCAATTTCTCAGCTTTTCTTTTTAATCCTCCCTTATTGCGGAATCTCAAAGTTAAAGAAAGCTGAACTGTGTTTACCATTTTGAATAAAGGGGCTGAACTCTTCCTGACTTGCTGCCATAAAATTTGGGATATCAAAATGGTTAAACAGCCATCCCTATCTTGAAAGGAAGACAGAGCAGCATGACTTGCAAAATTAGGTCTTAAGAGATTCATTGCACTTTTCTCTCTAGGGCTACGTCTTGGAACTGCTGACAGACAAGATGTTAAAAGCTGAAAATGTCAAAGGATTCTTTATTGAAGGCTTTCCCCGAGAAATCAATCAAGCCAAGCTGTTTGAGGAAGTTGTAAGTTGTGTGGGAGGGGGGAGAGAGGGAGGGAGGGAGGGAGAGAGAGAGTGTGTAGCCTTTCCAGTGTTCAGACTTAAGTTTGCATCATTCCTAGCTGTTGTGTCATGTTTGTAGATTGAAAAACTGCCATTATCTTGCCTATAATCTCCATAGGATGTTGTCAATTGGAACAGGAGTCACTGAATGAGAATATGGAAAAAAATACTGGCAATATATTGGTTGGCTCAATATAGGACTGTTGTTTTAACCTGTAGGAAAGAACTTGAAATGGCTAGTTTAGACCAAAATAAATCTGTTAGATATTAATGAAAAGCTAAGGGTGAACCAAGGATGTTAAGATATGCTGATCCTGCTGAATTGTAGTTCTGTTCCATTCAATTAATTCCTGGTGTTCTCTTACCATTTCAATTTTTAAACTGTGAGACACAAATCTTCTGAAAACTTTACATGTAGTAATATTTTGGTTTATGTACAAACATCTGCCTATTTAATGTAATTTTTCAGTTAATGAATAACAGGTTAAGCAAAGTTATGAGGTAAAGTTTATCCCTAATCTGAGGTTGGTTTTCTTCATACTGCCCAGATCTGCATTTTCAAACACGACATTCCCATTATTTGAGATTTCTCATTACCAGCAGCCTTTTTGCCAAGAGCAGGAGTCTTCAAACTTGACAGCTTTAAGACTTGTGGACTTCAACTCCCAGAATTCCTCCTCCAGTCATGTTAGCTCAAGAATTCTGGGAGTTGAAGTCCACAAGTCTTAAACTTGCCAAGTTTGAAGACCCTTGGCCAAAAGTTTTGAGTAGCTTTTCCTCAAATCAGGCAAACTGGCTTGCTTTTCAATATCCTTTTGCCACACATAGCAACGTCCTCCTGAAATATAGTAAGTATGCTCTGATAGTTTAAGCATTGACTTCTGACCATAATCTTCTCCATTCCTATCAAGCAAAGAGTTTCAGGCCAAGCATTGAACTGACCATCTTATGCCATTCCCATTGCAGGTGGGACGTTTGCCCAACATTGTTATAGTGTTTGACTGTTCTACAGAGACTATGATCCAGAGGCTGATGATCAGAAGCCAGCTGGGCCAAAGAGTGAATAACAATGAGAAAACTATCCGGCAGCAGCTTGAGACTCACTATACGCTGTGTGATCCTGTCCTCACCTACTACCTGCAGAGAAGCATACTCCGGAATGTAGGTCTCTATCTGTTGCCCTTTCCCCCGATCCTGGGCAAAGAGGGCCTAGCTGATGGGGATGGGAGAACTATGCTCAGTTTGATTCTGTTTTGGACTAAAGCAACACTTTCCAACAAAGATGCTCGCTCTCTCCATTAAGCTTCACCTATGAAGCAGGTGATATAAATGATTTGTGATAGTCATAAGGGGGGGGGGAGTATGTGACATAGTTGAAATAAAAAAAGTAGAAAGTATACTAAGAAATTGTTTTAACATGTTGCTATCACATAAGATATCCCAGTTACCCTTATACCCACATTAAGGTACACACATTTTGTATTTGGTTTGGGTAAAGCTCACAAAACATTCCCTCCCACACACATACATACACATCAGAAATTAGAACATTACTTAGGGGAAACTTAAATTTGCTGCATTAGGGGTATTGTATTAGAAGCAATGCCTAATTTACTCTTCCTAATACTGTGTATACAGAATATTAAGAAATTTGTGGTAGTATTGCAGATATTTTAACTTGTATTTTGGCTCCACCTATTCATGTTGCTTTTGATCCAATAAAGGAAAAGCGCTATATAGAATTCTTAAAAGTATGAAAAGAGTATTTATTTTTTCCCTTAGAATAGCTAAAATAATCTATCCAGTTTCATAATGTTACTCTGTCTTGAGAGCATAGCATTTCACATAAACATGTCCCAATATCAGTTAATTTCATTATTTCTTAAACAAAAATTATCACAGCACACCCTAAAAGGCTATTTTAGCATAAAATGAAATATAGAAGAATTGATATTGCAGGCTAACTAGCTTTTACAATTTTCATATTATATTCTTATTCCTCTCAAAGTCACCCAACAGAATTGACAGAAAGTAGTTTCACAATAAATAAAGTGCATAACACATTTCTTCACTGAAATCACATTTTGCATAGTCAATTAACTGTCATAAGATGATAAAAGACCACTCATTTAGTTTTTTAAAAAGGTTTGGCTATAACATCTCAGGAAAATCTCAGTGTTCAGAGGAACATATTTGTTAGTTATCTCATAATTGTGAAGACTTATTTCCATACTTCCCAGCAGCATCTGAATTAAGCAGTTTTTAATGTAAGAACATTTTATTGTATTTAGGCTTGTTTAGACATCCCCATAACTCTATGAGCTAAGGCAACCCTGTTTCTAAACCGTGGTGTTATTCAAAGAGCTTAAAGAGGCTGGAGCGTTCTAGAAGAGGTATCTAAGAATCCCATCACTGTTTTTCTATTTGCAGATCCTTGGGGAGGAACCCCCAGAAGTAGTCTTTGCCAAGTGCTGCAGTGTTGTTGATGATGTGATAAAAGCAGCTACCTCTGTGGTATAGCTATTTAGTTCTACAGAAAAATAAAAAAATAAAAAGCTCTGGTCTATTAGCATGCCTTCCTCAGAACTCTCTTTTTTTTAAAACAATGCATCTTGGTTCACAACTGCATCAACCTCACCTAATAATCTGAAGCGTAATGAGTGATCCTGTCTATGACAATGTATTCAGAAATCTAGGTTAAAAACTACATCCTGCAATCCCCAAGAAAAGCCATGATTGCAAATGGTTGTCTGTGAGCAAAATTTACTGCTGGCCAAAATGCAAGAGTGAAAGATCTCTTTCAAACTGAAAAATCATAAAGGGGGAATTACTGTAGCAACATATATGCAAGCTGTGGTCTACAATCTTAAGTTCATTCCTTAACTGGGATGCTCTTTCTGGAATTCCTCAGTCAAGGATACATTCCCATTATTTAATTTATCTCTAGAATTAAGTTTGTATTTTCAAAAAGTGTCATATCTTCAAGTCATGTCTGTGGTAGCAAAATTCCAGGCTAAGACATTCTGGCGATTACTAAGTAGCCATAAGGATTTTCAGCTGGTGATGATGCATATCAACAACATGAAAAGATATAATTGGCCACTTTTCCAGCACAACACTTTTGAACTGTAATATATACTTTTCACAGCTCTGTAGTCACAAACTAGTATCAGCAGCAGGTGCAGCAACATTTGAAAAACTATTGCATATTTACCCATCATTTCCATGAAGTTATGACTACAGGTAGTCCTTGATTAATAACTGTTCAGTTAAGATGGTTCAAAGTTATGACAGCCTCGAAAGTGATTTATGACATGTCCTCAAAGTTACGACTGCCATGTCACCCCTCAAAGTTACCTGTTTGCTAATCAGGCACTTAGCAGCTGGCTTACATTTACCTGTTGCAACATCCTGCGGTGGTGTGATTGCAATTTGTGACCTTCCCAGCCAGTTTCTGATAGGTTTCCAGCAAACAACCTCAACCGGGGAAGTTGGATTTGCTTAAAGACAGCAGCAAAAATAAAGCAGCAGTAAAATGAAGTCTGATCACATGACTCACTTAATGACTGCATCTTTTAGTGACTGAACTTCTGGACCCAATTGTGGTCATAAGCCGGGGACTACCTATATTGCCCATGTCAGCCAATACGTGAATGCCTTGCATTAAAGGACACTTCATACTTCTTTCCCTTTCAACTCAAAATAAAAGGCAAAGTCTTGCAGGCCTCAGTCTTTAGTTGTATACAGTCCTTGGTCTGTTTTTAAAATCCCTCTGTAATACCAACTTAAACAAAGTAATTTATCCCAGCCCATCATGATGGGGTGGAGATGGGAGGCAGGGAAGGAGATCAAATGCTGAAGAAAATTATTCTTTAGTGGAATGAGCGCCCTCATGTATATTTCCAAGTACCTTCTCAGATCCTGAAAAGCATTTTAGACCAATTATCCAAATGGATTTAATGATGAATAATCTACTAGGGAGTTCCAACCACTGATGCAAGAATCTGGAAAATCCACTCTTTTATAATGTACCCCCTCCCATATGCTGATACTGAAGAATGAAGCCGTTTTAAAACTTTACATACATGGAATTTCAAGATCAACACAAGCCAAACGACAGCTCAGTCTATGGAACCTGAAAAATAGCCTGCCTCTGGCTCACATCAAGTATCTGTTCCCACTGCCCTGGGCAACCTTCAAACCTTCTGAGACCTGTTTTTGGAAACATACACATTTGCATCAGAGACTTTAAAACAAAAAAGCATTTTATTCAACAAAAATGCACAAATGCCTGCTCAAACTATAAAAACACAGGAAGCTCTTATTCATGACCATTACCAGGCTTTTACAACAGCTATATTGTGAACAAACATCAGCTTCAAAAAACCCTATAGACAGAGAAAGACAGACACCACCCAGCAGACACGGGGGGATGTTTTGTTATCATTTATTTGTGAAGTTAAAAACGAGCGGTAAAAAGTAAAAATTTGAGCATATAATTGTTTGTTCCAATTTCCTCTTGAACAGACAAAAACACGATCAGTCCCAGCAGTGAAGAAAATGGAAGGGCAGGGATGGGGTTGTCTGAAACACCAACACCTTTGTCCGAGGAATGTTCCAACTCTTAACTAAAAAGCAGAGTGATTTTCCTTGTAAAGTTTATTTTTAAAACAAAACAGAAAAGAAAAAGAAGTGTTACCCTGAAAACTGAGGTGTGTGTCAGGCAGGATGGGGTCTGATGGAGGCGGTTTTAGTCGGCTATCTTCTACAGCTGCTGGCTCAACATTAGGTTTGGAGATCTGGATTTATTTTAAGAGAGATGTGAAGGCGGCATGGCCAAGATTCCCAGAAGAAACCCAGCAATCGGAGCAACAGGCCAGTTCCCTTCCCACCCTGCCACTTCCTGCAGTGGCAGCAGCAGCCGCCACCTTTCTCCAAAACAAAAGGTTCTCGGAGATGGAGAGGGTCACATTCAGCTCACTGAGCCTGTGGAAAGGAGAAAACATGAAGGAATCTGTCACTGAGAAAGGAAATAAGAGAAGGTGTTTATCCTGTGGTTTCCGGTGGGGAGCCTCATTTGCTAACACCCTTGAACATTACTGTTTTTCCAGGTACAGTAATACAACAGAGAAATAAAAACACTAGCTCACAGGTGTCAAACTTGTCGCATCACGTTGCTGTCACATGACATATCAGGATGGCTTTTCCCTTCACGGAGCTGGAGTGGGTGTGATGCATCTGGCCCACGGGCCGCCAGTTTGGCACCCCTGTTCCAGCTCATCATTTGATCTCATCCCAAATGTCACCACCATTCATTCCATTTAGCAAGCAGTTCAATAACATGTGAACAAAATGAAACTGGTGTCCGATAGAATTTCCTGTTCGTCACCCTACCACTGTTTATTAGGGAGTTTGTGGAATGCTTCAGTTCTCTTGTATTTTATAGAGCCTCTTCCCCTGGCCAGTCACCGAGACAATAGCGTCTCTCATCCTGAAGAAAATGCCACGCAGAAAATGAATAAGAAAAGGGCTTTCCACTTTTGCTCATCTGCCAGTGACTTTCATAGAGTATGAAATAACGATTGAAAGGGTACTGGAAGACAGCTATCATGTCACCCTTAGTCCTTCTCTTTGCTAGACTAGAGATATGCCTAGTTCTCACAACTATTCCACATACAGCTTAGCCTCTAATTGCTCTTCTCTGCACTCTTTCTAGAGCAAGGGTGTCAAACTCAATGCTTAGATTTGGTCCGTGGGGATGGCCTGGAAACAGCAAAGGACTGGCTCACAGTGCCTCTCACAGAGAAAATGCAGCTTGGGAGGGCTGTGAGCCTGTTTCTGCTGGCAGAGCGCTTGGGCCACCACAGGCGCCCGACACGAGTGATGTCGAGTTAGCCACCCCCACCCCCCAAGGTCAAACACAACCCTGATGAATGAAATCGATGAAATCGAGTTTGACACCCCTGTTCTAGAGCCTCAATATTTTTTTGGTACCATGATGACCAGAACTGGATGCAGTATCCAAGTGTGGTCTCACCAGAGAATATAAAGCAGACTTGTCACATCACTTGATCTTGATACTATCTCTCTGTTGATGAATTGGCTTATCTGGCAGTTGCAGCACACTGCTGGCTCATACTTAAGAGGTTCTCCACTAAGACCCTAGAGCCTTCTCACTGTTACCGCTGTTGAACCAGACACCACCTATTTTATACCCATGAATTTGGGTTTTTTTGCTTAAGCATAAGACTTTTGCTCATAATGGAATTGTATTTTGTTGGGTAGGACCAACAAAGTTAGTTTGAACTAACTTGAACAAAATTCAAGTCTGTCAAGATTCTTCAGTATCTTGAATCTATCTTCTAAAGTGTTGGCTATTCCCCCCAAACTTGATGAGTTACCCTTCAATCCTTTAAATCTAAATCATTTATGAAGATGTTGAAGGGTACTGGGCCTAAGACAGAACCTTGGGATACCTCACTACATGCTTCCCTCCATGTTGATCTAATTCCATTGAGGGCTACATGTTGAGTACAGTTGGCCAGCCAGTTACAAACCCATTTGGTGATGATGTTACCTATTCCACGCTTTTCTACTTTACCAAGAAGTATCCTGTGGTGCGCTTTTTCAAAAGCCTAACTGAATTCTAAGTAAACTGCGACCACAGTATTTCCCTGATCCATCAAAAAGGCAATTAGATTTATCTGGCATGATCTGTTTCACAAACCCACGTTGGATTTTAGTAATATCTTTACTTGTTTCTAGGTCATTGCAGATCCGTTGCTTGAAGAAAGGACTTTCAACTTGGTTTTGTTCATCTGCCATTGATTTTACTTACAGAATATGCTATTGACATTAGCCTAGCAACGGTCTGATGCACCAGAAGCATACTCACAGAATTTAGTACTAGAGAAAAAATATTAGTGTACCCGAAAGCTCCTGTTCTCTGTTATGAAAATAACGATCAAGTTTTCATGGTTGTGAAAATACATTTGTAAACACATTTCAGATATTTTGAACAAGAGGAAGGCCAGGCTTCTTGGAACTTTTGTATCAATAGCCAGCAAGATATGCCTGTAGCCAACATGCCTGATGCATGTGCAACCCTGTACATACTTGGCTACACTTTTTTTGGGGGGGGGAGGGGGGGAGAGGAGAGACAACTTAAGGTTCTGATTTAACCAACATTATTGTATTTATTAGATTTTTATCTCATCTTTATTACTCTATAACTAACTCAAGGCAGTGAAAATATAGCATGTTCTTCCTCCTCCTACTTCTCGCATAAGAACAACCCTATGAGGTGGGTTGGGCTGAGTGAAGATCCCAAGTCACATGGCCGGCTTTCATTCCTAAGGCACGATTAGAAGTCACAATCTACTGGCTTCTAGCCTGGAGCCTTAACCACTAGTCCTTCTCAGTAATCTCACCCTTGAGGAAACACTAGAAATGATGCATATGGTCACTCTTTTTTTTTGGTGCAATCTACACTGGCAACTTAGTCTGATGGCAAGAATGTAACATCCTACTGGGTGCCCTGTATCACAGATTAGGCAAGAGTGCCCAAATATTTAATAATTTTAAGCTAAACTTAAAAGTATATGCATAACAAACACCCAGATGGAAGAGATTTCACCACAGGAATCAGTTGCTAAATCAAGCCCCTTCTTCACTCACCTGCTGTCCCTGCTGTGTGGGGGGTGGCACTGGTCCACCAGCACCAGGTGTCTGTCCATAATAGGCAGCTTGTTGTCTGTAGTATTCTGCCCACGCTGCGCTGTAGTCTGGTTGGGGTCCTGGTGGTGCTGCTGGCCCTGCGCCAGTCGCTACTTGAGCTGCTTCCAAAAAGAAAAGAGTCTCTCTAGCCCAGGGATGGCTAACCTTTTCGTCATCGTGTGCCAAAGCTGTGTGTGTGTGCAACCCCTCCCACGCCCCTCCGCATGCAGCCCCTCCCCCCTCCGCATGCACGCATGCCCCTCATGCTCCTGCATATCTCCTACATGCGCCCTGCCATGCGCGGCAGATACCCAACAATCATCTGGCTGGTGGGAGGCACATGCGCAGTGGAACTGAACTGGAGTGACAGCTCGTGTGCCAGCAGAGATGGCTCTGCATGCCACTTTCGGCACGCATGCCATAGGTTCACCATCATGGCTCTAGCCTATTCCATCATCCATGCCTATTCAGACGCGACGCCCCCCCCCCCCCCCCCCCCCCCCCCCCTTGATTCAGTGCCATTTGTTCCTGTATAAGGATGCACAGAGTAACAAAAAACGTCTGGCATTCCAGAGCCAATCCCATTTGCCATAGAAAGCCTGTGGTATTTTAGCTCACCTTGCTTCTTATAATACTCCTCCCAGGCTTTTGTGTAGTCCTGCTGGGGAGGAGCTCCGGGTTGCTGTGGCTGCTGGCCTGTAGGACAACAAAGGACAACGGGACTTGGTCGTATGTGAGAAGCATTCTGACCAACCAAGAGCCATATTCCCTTACAGAATCCAGAACTTTAACAGGAGGTGGTCCCAATTACCGATGGCATTATTTACCAGCACTCAGCCAAAAAGTATAGGTGTGAGATTCAAACTGTAAAGGCTGAAGCCTTGAATCATTTTGTTTTGTGTTCAGCATTTTTTTAAATAATTCAAGACAGCCATATTTCATCATACTTTGGAACTATGGGAGAGATGGTCATCATTTATAGACTCATATAAGCAGGAGTTTTCACATGCAGTACATCCACTGTCCAGCTTAAGACAAAATATACTGGGGAATCATCAGGCAAGACAGAATTATCCTGAAAGATAGTCCAGCAAATATGGAATAACAAATATTTGGGAACAAAATCAACTATGATGCTCCATTAAAAAGAAAACACATGATCAAGATACCCAGTTTTCTAATGTGTACTTTATCAAAACTTTGCTTGCTTGAAAACAGGGCCTTGAGGTTGAAGGCATTGTCACGTAAATTAACCCAGTTCTCTCAGCTTAAACCCAAAGCACTCAATGTCCAGAATACTGATAAAGAAAACGAAAAGATTAATAGGTAGAGAGAAAAGAGCTGAAGTGTTCTGAATCCAAGTCCTTACCTATAACCCTGGCAATCATTCCATTAACAGAGAAGCAAAGGAGAAGAAACACCTGTAAAATTACCTAGTTTTTTGTAGTACTCCTCCCATGCTTTCGTGTAGTCTGACTGTCCGGTGGGGGGCGGCTGGGGGGGCTCTCCTTGCACCGGTGGTGCAGTGGGGGCTGGAGGGGCTCCTGGAACTGGGCCAGGAGGCTGCTGGTAGTAGTGCGAGTAATATGCTGCCCAGGCAGCATTGGGGTCTGCTGCTGCTGCTGCTTTACCTGGAATCAGATGACAAGTCTGAATACAAGCCTGGCCATTCCTGAATCCACTGTAATTTGTAATCCACTCTGATGAGGACTAATAGTGAAGTTTTTTTTTTTAAAAAAAACAGCAATGAATTCTAACAAATACTTACTTGGGTCATGAGGAGCTGGAGGCTGCCACTGTGGGTAGGCATTTCCCCAGCCTTGAGGTGGATATTGAGGTGGTGGTGGTCCCCCAGGGCTGAAAGAAGAGAGGGGAGAAATTGGCATAATTGATCAAATGTAAGGATGTACAACAAGGATTTTTAAGTAGCAAATGGCCCAAGAAATTACTCTAGAGAAATAGTTCTACTGCTTGGAGAAACTGGAGAGGTCTCCTTCTTGCCCCATATAGCACAGGATTTCAAGCCAACTTTGCTCGCTGAAGAGGGTGCTGGAATGTCATTAATCCAATTTGCTATCATGGATTAAAATAAATTGCCAGTGGTGAAGAGAGAGACAATTTGGTGTAGTGGTGAAGGTCTAGTACTCCCTTAGGCATGAAAGCTGACTGGGGAACTCTGGGTCCATCCCTCTCCCTCAGCCCAATTCCCTTCCTTTTATAAGGAAAATAGGCAGAAGCATTATGCACAGCACCCTGAATTATACAAAATAAAGTTAGGATAGAAATTTAGCAATACATAAACATTAAAGATAAGTAAGTTTCTAGAAGGAAGCTGGGAAGTTACTTTTTGAGAGCTTCTAACTACAGTAGCTACAATCAAGCTACAATGACAGACCATGACAAGAAAGCCATATGAAATAGCAGTTTGTTTTTATGTTTCTATACCAATGATTCTTTCTATTTCTCTCTAGAATAGGTCATGGCCAGAATGGTCGCTGGCACAATCAGCCAAAAGTCAAATCCCTTTTGAAAACCTTTGTACAGATAACAAGCAATAAAATTAGCATGCATACCATAAACCATGTTTCTTTCCCTCAACAGCATTATTACACAACTCTTTGGATGCAATTCTTTTTTCTCTCCATACACGTAATCCTTGCAAAACCCCTAAAACAAGGGCTTTTCATGATTTTTTTTTTTTTTTTTGTTAAAAGGGGCTTCCTGGTTCAGCTCAGCACAGGTGCTTTTCCAGGTTCCGATGTCAACATCTTGGCTGCAGCTAAAAGACTCTCCAAGCAGAATGAAGTGGTACTTACTGAGGGGGTGCACTGGGTGGTCCTTGATTGAATGGCCCAGGATTGAAGGGACCCATGGGTGCTGGTCCCGGAGGCCCACCAGGCCCAGGCCCTGGCCCAACTGGGCAAAGGGGACCCTAAGAAAGAAACATGTAATTTGTTAATAAAAATTGGCATATCAAACCTGGAGATTTCTTGTGCAACTAAAGGTGGGTAGTTACCTCAATTTTCTCCTCAATCAGTTGTTTGGCATGATCTATTTGCTGAGGTGAGCCCCGAATAATGAATAATTTGAAATTGGGGTCTCCATTGGGGGGTAACTGCCGAGATATTTCTACAAAGGCTCCTGTCTGCTGGTTTATGGCCTTTACATTCTCCCCACCTAAAAAATGAAGAAAAGGTAGCAACAGAATGCTTGATGCACACCTGCTTGAAACAACTGAAGAAAACAGGAGATGCTCACCTCTGCCAATGACCAGACCACATTTGTGCGTAGGTATAGAGAAGGTCATCTCTCCTCCTGGAGGCCCCCAGTTGCCCTGCCCTCTGCCCCTACCTCTGCCTCCAGGAGGCATTCCCGAACCTGGAGGGCCTGGTGGGCCACTCTACAAGACAAGAATATAATTAACTTGAGTGACGTGGGGAAAACACAATAAAATATTACAGCAGAAGAGTTTCCAGAAGGGAGAGCTCTCTCACTGTGTTGTCAAATGGTGCATTTAGGAATTACAGTAATGATGTTATTTTCCTGAATGAGATCACCAGAGTGCTCAAACTGCCCTGCAAGGCAGCTTGATATTTCTCCTGCAGTGTGTGTTCTGCAAAAAGATTTTGAGCACAGTCTTGGACCAGGATGGATAGTGGCACAAGTTCCATGGACTGCATGGTGTTACCTAGAACTTGGTGGAACCCCCAAAGCTCTTTCCTAAACTAGAATAGTCCATCAGAACACTCTGCAAGGGTATATGGCAACAGGACAAAACTCAGTATGTTTTTGATGTTCTGTACAACAAAAGTGGAAACATTTTGAGTATTTCAGACATTTGAAAATATAGGAATTGGCGTTTCTGCTCTCTGCCCTGGTCCCCACTGCTGTACTGCTTAATCTGAAAACTTTTTAGAAAACAAAACAATTACAAGTGGCAACAATCACAACATTTAGAATGGCTAAAACCTGTCTTCTTCTAAAAGCAGAGTAAAAGCAACATACTTTTTTCTCAAAATCACAACCAATTCTACAGATCAATACTGTGCTTTGAGCTCAAAAACAGTGGTTTTAAATCAGAATGCTTTGCATTAACTTTGCAATAATAAATTTCATCTTCCGATACAATTTCAGTAATGATAACACTAAGCCCATTTGGGCTTCCATTTGAAAGAATGTAATTCTATTTATATTTGTAACAACACAACTCCACTAACTTCTCAGGTAAGCCTCATTGACAGCAAGCTCTCCAAACTGATCCAAATGTCAAATATGAATTTCCACTAAAGAAATGTTGCTCAATCTTGTTCTCTGGTGCATTAAGTTTGTGAGACAATTAAAGCTGTTTGGTATGCTGAATCAAATGAAAATGCAATGGGGCAGAAATTCCAAACCACAGAAAAATAAAAATCCTTGAAGGAATTATGTTTGAAAATCTGATGAGGTATATCTTTCTGTTATATATGACAGAATTAAAATATAATGGAAAAAAACTGTTAATAACCAAGTTCAAATTAAATTCCAGAGGTTATCAAAAGTACTATTAAAGTTCTGATTATTTCTTAAGAAGTTTTAGTATCTCTTTAGTCAAATATGAATGAAAATGTCTTAAAATGGTTTACTTAAACTTATAAAGCCATCCATTTCACTGAGGTGACTGTAGGTGGCGCACAAACTTAAAACTAATCCCCCCTCAGTAATATTAAGTTATGTACAGGTAGTCCTTGACTTATGACCACAACTGAGCCCAACATTTTTATTGCTGAGACAGTTGAGTTTTATTCCATTTTATGGTCTTTCTTGTCATAGTTGCTATGTGAATCATTGCAGTTGTTAAGTTAGTAATAAGGTTGTAAAGTTAATCTGGCTTTTCTATTGACGTTGCTTGTCAGAAGGCTGCAAAAGATGACATGATCCCAGGACACTGCAACCATCATAAATATGAGCCAGTTGTCAAGTATCCAAATTTTGATCTCATGATGATGGAGATGCTGCAATGGTTGTAAGTGTGGGAAATGGTCTTAAGTTACTTTTTTCAGTGCCATTATAACTTTGAATGGCCACTACACAAAAGGCTGTAAGTTGAGGACCACCTGTATGTAACTTATATATTTTAAGCAATATGTTATATATATATAGTGTGTATGTATATATATAAAATTTGTGTGTGTGTGTGTGTGTGTGTGTGTGTATGTTTTCTTAAGTTTTCGCCGGTATTTATATGTATGGTATTCAGCTTTGTTCGGGTATTTTCCCACGTCATTATAGTTGTGCTTTTAAAGTTGTAGCAACGTTTCGGCAGAATCTCATCTGCCATCATCAGGCTTCTGTATTGTGTTCGTCTATGAGTCAGACTTTCACAGCCGTTTCTGTTTTAAATCTGGTGCAACACATGAAAGCCACAGGTCATAGCATCGATTTCAATGGCACCAAAACCCTAGACACTATAGAAAACCCCAGCTACAGAATTATCAGAGAAGCCATAGAGATTGAAAAAAGACCGGAAAGCATGAATAGAAGAGATGATTCCACCAGACTGTCAATCATTTGGAAGCCTGCACTCTCAAACAAAAAAATATCCACACCACAAGCCAGGCAAACACCTGGGCACAAACAGACTCCCCCTGATAACTCCAGCTCAAACACACCCCAATCAGGCACCCAGATGAAACCTAGCTTCCTAATAAATGATAGCCGTCCGTTTACTCGAAGCCAAGCCACACTAAAAGCCTCCAATACAGGAAACACAATGTTGCCAGCCAATCAAGACAAAAAAAGCTACAAAACAAACAGAAGATATTAGAAACACCAATCAAGCAGAACACAGCAAACTCCAAGACCAATAAACACAGACCAAGACTCCCAACCAATCAGGATGAAGAAAAAACCATTCTGGCACAGCAGTAGGCTAGCCCCAAATTTAAAACTGAAACAACTGTAAAAGTCTGACTCACAGACGAACACAATACAGAAGCCTGATGATGTCAGATGAGATTCTGCCGAAACGCTGCTACAACTTTAAAAGCACAACTATAATGACGTGGGAAAATACCCGAACAAAGCTGAATACCATACATGTAAGTACCCGTGAAAACTTAACAAACACACACACACACACACATAAATAAAATTTATATAGCAATCTACAAAAACTATAATACAGTTGCTTAATTAATTATTTGTAAGAATTTCTTTGCAATTCTTTCTTATGTTTCCAAGATTAGATCAGGTCAACTAAATGGAAATTTCAGCACTCTGATGGATGAGATAAACTCCCAAGGAATGTCATACCCGAAGACTCTGGAGAAGGTCATTGATAATCCGGGCAGCATGTTCACATCTATCAGGTGGGCCCATGATATGGGCAACTTTTTCAGGACCTGTCCCATCATCTGAAATGACAGCCAAAACAAGTTCTACATTCAACTGGAGCTTAAAAATTAGGACCTTTGTCTGTGAACTGATGTGTGTATGTATGTGCACATCAAACAGCATTCACATTCAAAAATGTTTTCACATCCAATTAATGATTTCCTCCTCAGCAGCAAAAAGGCCCTCTGATTTCACGGGAGGACATGTATAGTTCTCTCCCTCTCCTTTGAAGAAAAGTAGATATGGGATGTATACAGTTCCAGGCAAGGAAAAATTTGCCCAAAATTCAGAAGATCCAATCTAAGGCAATGGAACTACAACAAACTTGACAGACCCAGGTTTTTATAGGGGAACTTGCCAAGTTTCAGTCACACTTCCTGAATAACCTGGATTGTGCCAAGTTTGAACAAAGAATAAAATGTTCTATAGATTTTCAGTTATCTAAAATGTTTCTTAGAGATTTTGCCTTAGATCACAACTGAAAAAATTGCACCCTCCAATTTCAGAAAAGAGTGCTGGGGAAAATAATTTGACAAAAATAGGAACAAAAACAAATTTGAATTAGCAACAATAATGATAACCAAATAAGAATTTGTGTTGAAGAAGTGTGGACACACAAGCATAAGCCTGACATTTAAACTCTGTGATGTGAATACAGGCTCTGAAGATGACAGAGAGATTTGTGGTTCTCACCTTGTTTGAACTGGATTCGAACTCCAGCATCATTCTGTATTTTCTTAATCATCTCTCCACTCCGCCCAATGACCACACCAACAGAATGTCGGGGGACTGGGACCTAAGGAAATGAATAAACATCTTATTTTATTTACTAGATCTACATGTTGCTAAATCTTCTCAAATTTGTGGAAATTTATAACAATAAAATTCAATTAAAAAATAAAGTGTATATATGTGTGTGTGTATACATACACACTTTAATATACTATATATACATACACACACACACACACATATATATATATAGAACAATGATGCTTTTTATATATAACAAGTATACAGAACATTATTCAATGAACGTAATAAATGCAGCTGATGACCTAGCAATCACCAAATGTGCTCAAGGAGAGCTCCACCAACTTCCAAAATGAAAGGGCTGGTTTCACTTCTAAGGGAGCTGTTCCAAAATATAAATACCATAATAAAAAAACAACCAGTAAATAAACGAAATAGAGGGATTAATGCTGAACTGAAGCTGTTTTTTCCATAACCACAGCAAAGTACCCAAAATGTCCTCACATCTATTCCTCCACCAATTCTTGAACCATATTCATTCCGATCACCAAAGCCTCCCTGGTCTCTCTCTCGTAAGATGTCCATTACCATTTCACAGGCTTGCTGCAAAGAGAAATCAGCATTAATTTTGGGATGATCTGAAACATACCACAGAACATTTCACCTAAGAAATGTTATAACTTCCAATGAAGAAAGCCTTTCTCTGAGTGTTATCAGGGAAGCCGAGTAATTCCAGATCATTGGTAGAGTACAGCTGTAGATAATACTGGCAGAGAAGATTTTTCAGTGATCTTATGAATTTGAGAAACAAAGAAACAAACAGGAAGGAACAAACTGGAGGATAAGGACAGAGGTTTCGGCTTGAACAAACCAGGGGGTGCATTTAAAAGGTGAAATAAACTTTATGGAAAAGGAGGGAGTGATAGTTTGGTACAGTCCAGTGCAGACCAGACTCAATCTCTGAACCCTCCACTGAAAAAGGAATGTTAGCATTTCCTCGGAACAGGGAGAAGAATCCAGTCAAAGCTTTGAGTAGGTCACCATCAACAGGAAGAGAAATTAATAAATTACAAACGCTACTTATCTGGCCCAGGATAAAGCCATATGTTCATAGAAAAGGATTCAAGACAGCATTCAAATTCAGAGAGCGATTGAATGTATGAGTGTAATGTGAAAATCAAAATACAAGAAGAAAATTGCAATGGTCAAAGATGAAACAACTTGAACTTGAACTGCAAATTTAAATTTAAGAAGTAAAACTATAAATTTTAATCCCGTTTTAACTCTCTTTTGACTGGGCTTTTAGTCATATTTTATATTATTTTATGATGTTGTTTATAAACCGTTGTCACTTAGACAAGATATGTGGTGTACAAATTTTATAAATAAGTAAATTAAATTTAAAAACGACAATTTATCATGTAATTCAGTAGAACTGGAATGAAAACATTTGAATAAACTAACCTAATATTGTAAAGTTATAGCTAAAGCATTAACCTTCTTTACAACTCTGTTACTGATTCCTGCTCTGCTAAATGTGCCTCCTATAAACTCAAGCTAACGTATTAATAAAGATGAAAGTTCTCTGGCTTTAATCAGACTGTACTTTTAAAAAAACTTAAAACTGTAAAAAATAACTCAAATCTTAGCAGCAATTGTGCTGTTTAAGGAAGCTAATTTCAACTGCCAGCTAGAATACAGAAAGGGCTCTTGGCTCTGTTGCAAATAAATTGAATCATGGAGAAGCTCTGAAAAGAGGATTATGCCTTTGATCACTACTATTGATATTGGAGATCCCTGCCTTTTTAGAGGGTGATCATAGGGAAAAAAACCTGATTTGTTCTTGAAAGGCTCAAAACTGGAGGGCAGACTGTTTTCATTCCCGCTAATAAAATACATCTTAACGAAATGAAGTTAAAACAAAAAAAATAGTTGTCATATCTTGAGAAAGTAAAACAAAAATGTTTATGAACCAAAGACCTTCCATCTTCAGTGCACTTTCTGGCTAGAGAGCCATAGCTTTCCATTATATCTGAACTGAATAATTATATTTTTCTAAATCAAATATAATCGAAAACTCTAACTGGCAGTGTTGAACTATAGTCTTTTAATTTTAAAAAATGATACTGTGAAAATCCATCACAGTAAAGGGAAAATTAAATTACTCTCAACCCCACCCAAATCCAAACTAAAATCAGTAAGCAAAAAAGATGAAGAGTGGGCCTTACCTGCACTTTGTATGGGTCACCAATTATTCGAAGAGGCTTGTCTACATTTGTGTTTTGTGAACCGTCCTGAATTAGAATCATCTTCACTCCAGCCCGCTCCTACATTAACAAGAAATCAAAAGGGTTGCATAACTGTTAAAAATCCCTGTACACTTTTCCTCTTTATATGCAACTTAAACCAAGCCAACTTAAACCAAGGAAGAAGAGGAGAAAATGATTTTGATGACGATATGGATGATGGTAATACTTCAAGCTCACCTGTAACTGTTTAATGGTCTCTCCCCCTTTGCCGATCACCAGGCCTGCTTTCCCAGCTGGGATCATGATTTCCTGTACTGTACCATTCTGTCCATTGGAATTATCATGGAACTGACCGGGTGGCCCACCACGCCCTCGAGATACAATATCATCAAGCATCATCTTTGCCTTTCTACAAAGAGGAGAAAGGATCAACTTTGAACGACAGCAAGCTAAAAGATTCTCAAAATTTCCTCTGATAACTGAGATTTGAAATGGAATTCCCAGTAATACTTTCGAGCCTGAAAAGTCTACAAATCAGTATGTTCCATAACTTCTGCATGTTGGTTAATAGCTTTTATTTCAGTTGCAAACACAATCACTTTTTTTTTGCATATCATTTGTATTTTTAAATTTACATACTGCATTTGTTTTAGTTTTATCCCTGCTTTTTAGCAAGTACAGATGTGCTATAATTGTAATATTCAACAAAGATTTTAGTCCCATGTTAACCTAGCAAAACATTTGTGTTAAGTAAAATGCTTCTCTATATGCAAGACCAAAGTCAGCAGCCCACTAGGTACTGCATGCCCAAATTATTATTGTGTCTTCGTCCTGAAAGGCAACCATCTTAATTAAAAACTTAGCATCTATTTACAAAACAAATTCCTGAATTTGTTCCTGAAAAAATTCCTGAAAAAAAAAGCAAGAGGAACATAAAACTTGGTCAGTTCAAACAGAAGTTAGCATAACTCCCCCTTCCCTGCCAACAGCATGAAACAAACCCAACTTTTGCAATAAAAGTGATGCCTCTGATCTTCCTGAAAATACTGACAAAGATTAAAAACTACTCACTGCACAGATTCTGGTGATCCTGTCAGAGAGACACTCCGTTCTGGTAGTCCTCCACTGTCTGTAAGGGAAAGAAAAGCCATCAGAAGACAGTTGTCAACTTCTTTCTATATTAATACATTTTCCAAAAGAATGTGAGCCTTCCTCTGATCATGTATCATCAAAAGGAGCTAGGATAGTTGGATGGGCCTATAAAACACACTCACACTCTCTATATACAAGGGTTCTGGATGTACTTGACTAGTTTGGTGTTAAAAGAAAACAGCACTCAGACAGAAAATGTAGGATTCTTAACAGCTGAAAAATCTGCATAATTACAGGTAGTTCAGAGGCTACACAAGACCAGACTTCTGTGAATTTGATTGGGTGAAAGGAATAGAAGACATAGTGGTTCCCATGTTTACATATGCATCAACATGGCAGCCAACCTACATAAAAGTCAACTTGACAAGTGATCCAAGAACAGAACGGTATTTAAAATTGCATTAAGTCAATCCTCAATTTAAAAAAAAAAAAGCTTTTTAGCTGTGCTGTGGAAGAATACTGCAAGTGTTTCCATTTTGACAATATTTTTCTCTATGGGTTTATACAATATGGTAAGCCATAACATAACTGTTTGATTTTGGTTTAGAAATGATATGAAAACAGATATCATGGTTAAAAATCTGTAGAGATTCTCAATCATCCGGGTCATGGTTGTCCCAAAGGTGCTTTTTCAGGAGGCAACTAGACTTTCTTGTTTTTTCTTTTGAAGACGTTTCGCTTCTCATCCAAGGAGCTTCTTCTGCTCTAACAGGATTGTGGGGAATGGAAAGATTTATATTCCTTGCAGACAGTTGGTCATTTGCATCCTTTTAGAGGGTTGTTGAGGCCCCTTGGAGGTTTATCTGTGTCCTCAGGGTCACCTGAGTAGTGCTCCTGGTTCCTGCAGTCTGCAATTTTTCCTCTGGAAACCCATTCCTACTCCCGTATCATTCAAAGGGTGTTCATCCCAAATTGTATAGCTAAAAGTTCATCTGCCTGCAAGGAATATAAATCCTTCCATTCCCCACTGTCCTGTCAGAGCTGAAGAAGCTTCTTGGATGAGAAGCGAAACGTTTTAAAAGGAAAAAAAAAGGAAGTCCAATTGCCTCCTGAAAAAGTGCCTTTGGGAGATATCATGGTTCTTTATCATGTTTGTAAACCATGGTTTGAGACTTAGCATGTGTGAATATTCCAAATAGCTTAGGCAACTATCTATGATTGAGCAAACCATAAATTAGCACAAGGCAAGGCAATTTCTATGGCTCCAAAGACTCAAGTGATCCTTGAGAAATAAAAATAGGCTTATCACAATTAACCATGACCTCTAAAACCCAGCCATTCCCACATGTGTGATGGGGCTCCTCCTATTTTGGAGACCTCAGTTCCTTTTCTCCAAATGTATAAATTCCCGCCATCCAAAGATGTCCTGCTCCTGGGTAATATGTGAACATGTAAACATTAAGGATATCAGAGTACCGGTTATATTACTAACATTGGAATTCCCTGCTGTCTTCCACTGAAGGACTGCCCAGCTTTTCAGCCCAGACAAGACTGGCAGATAGCAATGCTTTCTCAGTCTTTTAAACAAGGACATCCCAGAGCCTCTGAACATTGTCTTTGTAGGTCCCTGAAACTGCACCAGTTCTGTTTAGTTAGGTGTAATTTCCCACTTACCTAAGGCTCTCCCATGATGCCAGAAAAACCACATTATCTGGCCCTACTGATTATTTATTTCCTGATCCAAACTCATGGCTGAGTTCCAGTCAGAGATACTATTAGATCATTGCTCTACCCACTAACACTCCTCTGGCAGCTCAAAGGAAAAGTACAGCTGTGGCATCAATCCAGCGAATGACTGCTCGCCATAGCCTCAAACTAACAGCTTACACCTCTCCATCTACAAGTATAGGCTTGGAAAAGAACAAATATATGCTTGTGTTACATTATGTTTAACCTTATAGTGACTTATTCTCTATGTAGTTTAGCAAAAAGGACAAATACTAAGAAACAAGTTTTTGAGATGTCTCCAAACTCAGATGAAAATATTGTATTTTCTCATGAAAATCAGAGACAAGATAGAATGACTGCTTAAGTTACTACTCAAAACTTCAAGAACACACGAACAGTTCGTTGTGTTTTTTACAAGCCATGCTGCTATTTATTAGAACTGTGCAATGCTTTTGATCTGATTCACCAAATATGCTTTGAAGTGGGAATAGTGAGAGAATGTGTACATTGCATCATTTCTGCAATTTTTCAAAGCAACTATATCTTTTCCCAGAATAACATGGCAGCTGTATAATTCTGGGAAAAACCAGTTAATTTAAATAGTAGCAGGCAAGTGCTGCTGTTTCTGGTCTTAAATGAGCACTGAGAGCACTAACACACTATTTTAAGAAAGACCAGCTAGAATTCAATTATCAGAAAACCCAATGGCATTTGCCAAAAAGGCCCAAGAACCATTAGATGGTCACAAGATTGAACAAGTGTCCTGTTTCAAATATCTAGAGTACTACTTCATTCTGCCAACAGAAGGAAACTCCATGAATACATTTTTGAAAATGCACACAGGAGCTTATCTGCCATCCTAAAATCCCTCAAGGCAAGAGGTGTGGACACTATACTCCCTGCAACACACAAATTATTCAAAGCCAAAGTGAATAGCGCAATGTTTTAATGGTACCCCCTTCCAAATTTTTCACCATTAGGATTTGCTTAATCCAAGTGTCTCAGAATGACTCTTCAAATCCAAAAATATGTCTCTTACACTATCCTGAGACTGGAGACAGGCCTCTTGAAAGTGGAGGCTAGAGTGTGGATAACTATACTTAACTACTGGCTCAAACATCCCCACCCCCACCCCCAGCCATGTTTCATTAACTATGAGGGATGACTTTCAGTCCACATGGAAAAAGGTAGTGGCAACTAAAATCTCACCCTTGGCTTTCTTCTCTCCAGGTCTTCTACTTAGCATGGGACATGATCAGGCTAAAGCACCCATTAAACAACACGTAGCCACTGGATCTAGCCAGGCCTCCAACCTTTATTGCCAGTGAACCCAACAGATACTCAGCCTGCCCTATGACATACTTAAGTAACCTAACCCTGGAGGCTTTTTATTCTGGCATGATGTCATGCCCTCTCCTCAGCTGTCATGAAGGCCAATGCAGGAAGTTTCTCTATCCAGAGAGACAATGCTTGTGATTCCACACAGAATGTTCTTCTACAGAAATGTTCCCACTAGCCTCATATCTCCATTTTTGCATCAAAGTCCATACTTCATAGAGCAATCTTTTATCTCCCAGCTGCTCTCAGATACTAACCCTGCTAACAATATATAATGTTGCCAGATTCTGCCTATCAATGCTTAACATCTGCCACAAACTAATCTTAATGAACATGTAGTTTTTCATTCTAGAATGCTCTGTATTGAGATAATTTACTTTGCCACAATTAGAATTTATGCTCCCCTACACCCATCTAATGCTTCTTCCCCTCCTTTTGGATGTCTGCTCTTTAAATATTTTTTAGCATTTTGATATACTTTCTATGCTTTTTAATTGACCCCTCAGTTTTTGACACTAAAATTTATTTGCATGATGCTGATTAATTATATGCACGTTTTTGAAACAAATCTTCAGAAATTTACATGGTCGGTGTTCATGACTGATTTGAAATGTTATTATCATGAACAAGACTTAGAGGAAAAACTTTCTGTGTGTTCCATAAACCCTGCAGCTGCAAATCCTTCTTTGACTGATTGGGAATGAGACACCAACAGAGCTAAAGGGTAAGATAGGATTAATCTCTCTGCACTTGTGGCTCTATACCAGAAAGTGGTAACCAAATCCACTTCATACTCTGCTCTACAATTTCACGCCTACCTGGTGAGATCTGTACTTTGCATCCAGAGTCCTGCTGTATTTTGTTAATCTGCTCTCCACCTCTTCCTATGACTGTAAAGAAGGAGAATAATGCTGAGAAAATCTTGAGATAAAAATAGAAATCTTATCTTCTAGCAGGTTGGTTTAAATGTAACACTTTTTCATCCTTCCTCAAAAGGGATAGGAAAGAGCTTTTGGATATATTGGAAAAGCAGAAACAGACAAACCCAGTGCAAATATATTTCTATTTTAAGTATATAACTTTTTCACTGTACAAACTGCATTAGCACATTTAAACATAAGACTGCATTCTGTGCATGAAAAAGTAGTGGAGTATTATTTCAAAATTCCTTCAATTCACCATTTACAGAAGGAATAATAGAGGATAAGTGATTCTCCTAAATGCCCAATTCAAACAAATAGTATTGAAATAAAGGTCTCAGAAGCAACAGGAAAAAAAAAAGATAAATTACAATAACCAAAAGTACCTCAGTAACCATTCAGACAACCTCTAGCTTTCAGAGCGTGAATGCCAGGCCAATTTAAAGCTAGGGCTTTTGAACAAATTGCCTACTGCGAATCAATTCTCCCTTGCTTAGTGAAAACTCAACTTCAGGCAGTGTTTTGCAGCCACCATTCCTTCTGGCAAAAGGGAACTATAATCACTCACAAAAAGTTGATAAAGCCAAAGCCACAAGCAATCCAACAAGGAATTCTGAATGCCTGTTGCACTCCTAGCCTGAGTGTCCAAAGTGAATCTGTACTGTGGATTGACAGCACCACCCACCCCCACTCCTGCTATGATGGGAAATGCTTACATGACATCTAACTCCAGTTCTCCTTAGAATCCAGCCCTCACCATTTAATGAATGTAAAACTTGCTGAGGCTTTGTAGAACGGAATACCCACCCGGCATTGCTGGAGCAATCGTCCACACAGCTCTGAGCAGCATACAAAGAAACGCAAATGCCTGTCATCTCTCTCTCAAAAAAAAAAACCCCACACAAATAGGGCTACAAAGAAACAAACCTGCCTGAGCCTTCCCTGTAGAAAGCTCAGCCAACTGGCATCGAGAAGCCAAAGCAGCACTGGTTAGTAAAGGTGAAGTAGCAGTCTTTCAACTATGGCAACAGCAGGTTTCTCTGCTCCCTGTCTAATACTCACTGAGTCCCACCATGCCATCAGGTACTCTGTACTCTTCAGTCACTGTAGACCTGCAAGGAAAACGGTCAGCAGCTTAAAGTAAGGAGTGGGAGAGTTATAGAAAAGGATCTGGGGTTCACCAGCATCCATCAAGAAACAAAAAAAGGAGAGTGTTCCTCCTCCCAAAAGAGCAGAAAGGAAGGTGGCTGAACAATTAAGCACCGCTTTGTGGAAATCACCGTGTGATTTTCCTGCACTGCCTGGCAGGACTCATGAGCAACTAAGTGGCCCAGAGACCACTCCAGCAGCATTTGCAAACAAGGATCTTCAGACAAGTTTCAGAAACAAAAGCTATGAAACTGAAGCTACACAAAGACTTATAATACTCAGTCATGGCCAAAGAGCACAACGCTTCACTACCTAACAAGGCATCCATGTGCCTGGAATTCACATCTCTCACTGATATGGATGCTGATCTCCACCTAACAAAACAGCCTTCTGTCTGTAGGGCAGGGAAATGCTACCCCTTCAGAAGTAATCTGAACCCACAATCTCAACCCTGAATATTGGTTTAAGCATTCCAGCTCAAATACTGATGGAGAAAGAAAAAAAGGGCCATAACTAAATTACCTTGAGGGAGGATGGATCGGTCCAAGCTGAGGTGGTGGAGGCATGGCTGAAAAGGAAAGGAAGAGTCTGATTATACAGGCACATTCTAAAAAGAAAAGATGTAAGCCAGTCAATGGAAACTCTCAGATATTAGAATAAGACTCTGTATGCAGTTAATACATTAATCTTCCTCTAGCAATTAAAAAAATACATTGTACTTACGTTCTGGCTGGGGAGCCATTTTTTTGCTTTCTGGCTGATCTATTAAAAAAGAAAAGAAATGGATATAGATTAGGATAATCTCCTTTTTATTCCGCTATTCAGAATGAAGCTTCAAGATTGCAGCTACAAGAAACTCTATTCTGGAGGCCGTAGCATTCACATGACTTATCAACCAGAGATAGGGAAATGGACAGAAGTGAACCTTCATCAGTCCAGGTGTTTCAGGAGATGAGGTTGGAAGGGAATGCCCCTGGCTCAAAAACCCCGTCCTTGATGCGATTTTATGTTTTTCTTGTGCCTGAGAAAACAGACTACTGTATCATCAAGAATAAAGCATTCTTATGTAGGATGTCATAAGGAACCAACAAACCCACTTTGGCAGGCTGAAGTGGTGACTTTGGCTCAGAACACGCCCTTGCCCACAGAGAAGCATCTGTTCCATTTGGAATATCTATTATGTGTGGATGTGCGGTGGTGTGTTGGTCACAAGTGTGAGAGCAAGTTGTAAATGACGTTTTCTGAGGCTGCTGTTATCTTTGAACCATTGCTAAATGAATGGTCTTAAGTTGAGGACTAGTTGTATTTCTCTAGCCACCCTCCATCTATTTTTATGGAATCTTTGCCTAAATCTGCTGCACAATTTATAGGGACATCCCTGCATCCTTTTAACCATGTCCCTCGTGGTATGTGAGGCTGAATAGCTGTTTAAGGGAAGGGATTAGGCAACCTTGTTTAATGACACTAGTCCAATGACCATTTGAATTTATGATGGCAATGAACAAGTGGTACTTACAACTGATTTTTGTACTTAAATTAATTGCAGTGTCATTACATTCATGATTGCCATTTGCAACCTTTTTTGATAGCTTTGATAGGGTCAATGGGAGAGCTGTCAGGAGGTTGCAAATGGCAATCACATGGCATTCTTGTTTAATAACCCACAATATTTGCTTAATGGCAACCAGAAGTGCTGGCATTTCTGTTAAAGGTGTGGTCACCCAACTTCATGCTGTATGACTGTAACACTTAAAGACAGCAATTCTTGCTCCAATTACCCAGTTATTAAGTTAGATTGCATCTAAATTAGTAGCTACCGGACTTCAATAGACATTATCCTTGACTTGGATCTATTCAGAGTAGGCACACAGTACCTCCATCTTCTAGTTGTCTCTTCTGACCACCAAATCCAAAATCAGGTGTAGTGTTATTCACAGTTGTGGCTGAATCACCCCCAATTTTTGCTGCTATCTAAAAGTAAAATTGATACTATGATTACAACAGAATAAGCTCAGAAAGAATTAAAAATAAAACTGTTAGAACAAAGGTGTTTGAAACACAAGAAACTTCAAGTAATTAAAAATATATCCCAAACCCATTTACTGAATAAAATACAAACTGGCTTTAAACAAATAAAACTGAAAAAAAGTTGACACACAATTCAAGTTCTAAATTCTTACAGTAAAGTATGTACTTTACATGGCTCTATTATCTAATAGTTAGAAATTTAACTAGGCAGCAACGTTTTATACATTGACTTGCATCAGACATTTTTAGTTGTTAGGTCAGGCCCCTCTCAGTTTTTCTTCTCCCCACTTATTTGATCCTGTAGTGAGGAAATTTTTCCTAAAAAACACCCTCTTACTTAGATCCATTCCTGTCCTCAGTATTTCCCTTCCCTTCCTAATTTTGGTCAGTTGCAGCTGCTTTCATCTAGTGGAAATTCAGACTGGGAACAGGAAAGTTCATAAAGCAGACTGTGGATGTAAGACTCTCATCACTTTTATGGCATTAAGTATGGCATTTTATTGTATGTTGATATCAGAAACACCAAAGCGTTGATCTTTTTTCATGTTTTATTTAAGAGATTACAAAAAATATAAATAATACCCACTATGGAAGTTTACTATAGATTTTTGGCTCTCAGCTCTTCTGGGATGGGTATTTTTCTGGACAAAATGACTCCACTTGAAATAGATGAGAATCACTATGTTTTGCCAGCAGTTGTGTGTGATTTACAGATTGGCTTGTTCTTCCTAGGCTATATTGATAGAGGTTATCTTTGATTTTTAAAGGAACTGAGATGTTAAAGACATTATTTTATTACATTGATATTAGTGAACCTGAAATAATTCTTGGCTTCTTTCATATATGTCCCTATGGGTAAATTGAAAAAAAAAATCTAATGTTTAAACTGACACTTGATTCCAAAACTCATTAAAGACATTTTGTAAAAATGAAAACTCAAATGTAGAATTATGAACATAACTGCTAACTGTATTAACATAGAGATGGGAGACCTGTGACTGACTTCTCCATAAGTAGAACAATAATGAAAATCAACGAATAAAAAGATCATGATAGAATATTAAAAGTTTGCTTGTCTACTATGACATGAGAAAGAAATCCATGAAATATCCACAACTATCAACTGAACGTACTAGCTCCAATGACTTCATGAATATACGTGCTATAATTATTCCAATTTTAATTCCAATCCTGAGAAACATTATTTGCTTTTATATGCACCTTCTAAACAATGAAGTTCTACCTTTCTCTCGATATAAAATAATATATATTTTGATTATGGGAAGAAAAATGCTTTTTTTAAAACTATACATAATGATTACAGAATCTGGTCTGCACAAACAGGAGAAGCCCAGGATGCAGGCAGCATGTGAAACCACACCCCCTCTGGTCCGTGGAAAAACCTATCTCCATGGAACCAATCCCTGGTGCCCAAAAGGTTGAGGGGCCGCTGCTTTAAATATCAAATTTGGAAATGACTATTGGTACCATATCTCTGACTCGTCTCACTTGTCCCACTATAATCTTAAGAATAGTAAGTCCAAAATAAAGACCAGACTATGGTGAATTCTTAACTAAGAAAGGCTGTAGTAATGAAAAAAGTAAACTGAACAAAGGATACCTAGAGGGCACAGTCTGAAATAAGGAAGTTGGTAAGGTACTTTAAAGGACAAGGAAGAAAATAGGTTGCACTGATTTTGTACCTTAGCAGTAATGAGTAGGAATGAAACCTGGTAAGGCATACACAGACAGAAAAGGGAAAAGTGTAGTAGGAATGCAAATTCTGAAGAATAATGAACAATATCTTCTTGAAGAAACGAATTAAAAAAAATTAACTCTATATTTCATAAAGATTATCAGACTCAGACAATTCTAGAATGACTGCAGTAGCATATTCAAAACCAATGTCCATATGTTTATGCATTTATTGAAAACATTAGGTTAACATCTACAGAGATGAAAACATCTATCATAAATGCCTGTTCAGATTAGTTTCTGCATTGCCGTAAGCAATATGGTACAACCAGCTATTTGCCATTAATTTCAATGTTTTCTTGAAATTCAGCTAAGTCAAGATATAATCAACATCTACTTGCAGAGATCTCTAAAATACAGGTAACTTCCTTTTTGCTTAAGAAAGTCCAACTTCAAATAATTTAAACGGTTTATGTTCTATTTTGCACCTTACTTTTTTTTAAGACAGACATTCAAATAATTACATTTTGGTTGTTTGGCAATATCCAACCATAGCTTTGTGGTGAGATGAGTACCAAAGAAATTAATTAAACAAAAAGATGACTGATTCTATTTTTACTGCTCTGTGATTTGTTCTAACAATAGTTAAATAAATGAAATTCATATGGGGCTTAATCACTGAAGAGGTTTTTTTTTTTAAGTTGCAATTTCATTAATTGTACTATAATCCTGGAATAAAGTACTTCCATTCTTTTAAAGAAAACAATGTATTGGGGATGATAGTCTATTTGGTATAAAATGCCCACATTCCTAAGAATTTTGAAAGTTTGCAAATCAATTCAGAAAATCAACCAGTCTGCTAAACAGTAACCAGTTGCTACTCACTTAAAAATTATTGGCAATCATTTTTCTATCTAAATGTAAAGTCATATAATTTATGTAAGTCCATATGCAACAGTGACTGACAAAGAACTTCAAAGAGCTAATTTTTCTCCCTCTGGATAATATTTCTTCAATAGGCTGTAATGATCATGAGCTATCCCCACATACTCTGTATTTCCTGAATAACAGAGGCCTTCTGACCAATAATATAGAAGCCCTATTTCAGTGTCTAAGGCTGCTGGGATGAAATGGGCTTCAACGAAACACTAGAAAGACTAAGTGGCTGTGGGTATTTGAAACTTCTTAAGACAAGATTATTCCATTTTTAGTTCTGGATAGAGCTGCATTACCCAAGACACACCCAATGTGCAATCTGGGTCCTCCTAGACTCTTTGAAGAGCAGACAGATGATAGCTATGGCTAGGAAAGTCTTTGCACATCTTCAGGTAGTATGCCAGTTACACACATTCCTGGACCAGGAAGCCCTGCTCACCCCAACTCATGCCTTTGTACTCTGTTGTTTAGATTAATGCAATGTTTTCTACATGGGCTGCCCCTGAAGAACATTCAGAAACTGAGACAGAATGGAGATGCACAGGTAATAAATGTCAGATATACAGAAGATGTAACACCGTTATTATGTGAGCTGCACTAGATACCAATATGATTCCAGATGCTATTCAAGGTGCTGGTTGTCACCCTTTAAAACCCTATATGGCTTGGGAATGGGTTACCTGAGGGACTTTTTTTCTAAGAGTCCAATCCAATCTTAGCAGATTGGGGCATGCTGCAAAGAGTGTTGGATGATGGGAACTAGAAGACAGGCCTTTTCTGCAGTCCTCTCTGCTCTGTGGAATTTCTCTTCTCCAGAAGTTAGCCCGAACTCTGCTGGCCTTTCATAAGGCTTTAAAATTTTGGCTGTATATCTGAGGCAGAGGCTCTGAATGTGGTTCAGATCCCATTTGGCTTTTCTGTTAACTGATTAAGTACATACAGTAGCCAAGACAATTATTTTGGATGTTTTTATACTTTTGGAATTGTAAGACGCACAGACTCATTATTCCTTGGCATGGGTGGCTATAAAAATTGAATGAATAAATGAATGGATAATTCTTCAAATACTTCACAATGTCCCTCTCCTTCCTTCTTAGAACAAGCAGCACAGAAAACAATTCAGTAACAATTTTCTCCAGGATGGGAACTTTGATTCAAAAAACACTGTACAGAAAGAGCCCCTTAATATAACAATAGGAAGAAACCTCACATACAAGTATTTCAAGAATTAAACTTCCATAAAATCATTTTGTTTTCTTTGAACTATTCTATTTTCCTTAAAACATCAGGTGTTTTTTCCTTTGCCTAAAAAAGCTACAATTGATGCACTAGACTACAACATGATAAAAACATGTGGAGCCCTAATAAACTGAATTAGTTCAGACTACACATGGATATTATCTTTTTCAATGTCTCAAATAAGTTTTGGGTAAATAAAATTAAAAACCACCCAACCTTCCCAATGCAATAAACAAGGCACAAAAAAAAATCAAGCACAGGGTCTCCTGGAGTGTCCTAGCTTTTCTACTTGCAAATATGTGTTAAAGAAAAAAATACATCAATGACAGAAATGTACAAATAAAAAGCTATTTACAAGAGCAACATCTGCAAGACTTACTCCTATCACCTTTGTGAAAAATCAAAGAATTCAATTAAATCACAAGAAGTTGCTTTCATTCCTACAGGAAGCAAAAAAGGCACAAATATTTGATTCATCAACAATCTTCTAATTTCTTATCTTCAGTCCTGTATATATTGGACATGCACTGACAGGCTACTTCTCCACCCTTCTTTCTTGAGAACAAGCTATGAAATTCAGAGTTAGAAACATGGATTGTACAACTGTAATCTACATTGCAAGTAGAATTGTATTTTATTGTTCTATGCAAAAATGCACAGGATGCAAAGAGAGCATTAGGACATAATGGGCAATCTTGAAACTAAAACAGTTCTCCCTAATTTACTCATATATATTTTTTAAAAATCCAAATAAATTTTCAATTCTTCTGTTTCCCAAATAGATGAAATTCATTCTCCAATGTCTTTCTAATGCACACATGGGATACAACAGGCAAACATATACATGTATTGTAAATTACAATTCCAGGGTGCAAGGTGGATACTTTTGACGGGTCATCCAAAATATTAAATGTGAACTATGACATCTGGAAATGTTAAGAATGTCTCTCCAACGCAATAAAAAATGGATAGCTTTCTGGTGCTGATCCAATAACAAAAAGCAGTTAAAAATATCGGTCTCTCCTGCCACATGAAGCGGTCCTGCCCACAAGCACCCTCCATTTAGCCTAAGCAGCCCAAGAACCCACCACCCTTCACACAATAAAGATCAGGAGGGTCTTGCGGGCCACTCTATTAGCTTTCGATTGGCAAATAAAAAAAAAAAGTAAGACCTTCTCACTTTCAACTGAGGGAAACACAACCTCCCCCCGCCCCCGCCCCCCAACAAGCTTTTTCTGTTCCTATTTCCCGGCTTAGTTTCCCAGTCAGAAGCGACCCACGTGCGCCGGGTTTCCACTTCCTTTAAAGTAACCTTCCCGCAGGAAGAAACTAACTGTTCACCCAACGCTCCCCGCTCTTCCCGCAGCGTGTTAATTGACAGTCCAGAGCTCTTGTCACCTCAAGAGTCGACTACCTCAGCCTCGGGCCGATCTCCACCTTCCCTAGCGCAACGGGCCTTTTCCAGGGCAGCCGGGGAGGGATGCAACGCTCGTCGCCCTCAACTGCCCTCCCACTCCCCACGAGATCGCGCTTCCTTTATTTCCCATCCACCTCAGTCCCCTCACCTGCCGGGCGCGCTGAACAGCATCGGCGAAAGCGTCCTTACGGATCCCGCCGGGTCCTGGACCCGCCGCTCCCCCAGCCTGCCCGGTTCCGACAGCGTTGCCTCCTCCGGTTTGATTTGGAGGCCCGGCGGTTCCGGTTCCTCCACCCGCGCCCGGCGGCCCAGCGGAAGGTGGCGGAGGACCGCCGGTGCTATAGTCCGACATGGCGGCAGAGATGAACACGGCGGCAACGAGGGCTCAACGCGGGAACCAGGCCGAACACTCTACCCCCCCTTCACACGCCCGCCCGCACTGCACGCCGGGAGCCCAAGAGGCGGGACTTCGCGCCATTATCCCCGCCTCCTGTGAAAGCCAATTATCCGCGAGTTCGAGATGAGCGACAGCGCAAAAAAGCCACTGAATATAAAAGAAGCAGGCGGCTTGGACGCTCGCTCTATCAGAAACGACGACAGGCGGAATCTACAGTTTGAGTGTCAGAAGGCTACTCGAATTGTAAAGAGGAAGGTGGCGCTTTGCAGGATCTATACCAATTGGAAATTGATAGAGGCGGAGTGAATGGTCCATGATGAACCTATCGGAGTAGGACGGTAGCTCAATCCCGACTCTCCAATTGGAAAACCCGCACATACGTCATTCTATCAAATGAAGACAACCAATCCAGCAGTTCCAGTCCATTTTGCTGTGTGTGGGGGGGGGGGATTCCGCTCGCCGACTGAAGGTTGAAGGGCGGGATTAAAGTACGATTGATGGAAAAGCTGACCACTCCTACTCGGCAACTCTTAAGAGCCTCCTCAACACCAACTGCGAAGGGCCTGCCGGGGAACTGAAGCGCGCCTTTCGTCCTTCCGACAATCCCAGCGAGGAAAACGCGCAGCCAACCGCCATCGAGCCAAGAGATTAGAAACCACCGAGTGAAGGCAGCAAGAATGTACACTTCCGCTTTATTTGCCCGGAGGTCTAAATCCATTGGGCGAGAACCCAGTGAGGCGGGTGAGCCGTTCGGGCAGAGGCTCCCACAGGGAGCGCGTTTCCCTTCGAAAACGGAGGCAGGCGGTGGGAAAAGAGAGGAGGCGCTTCTTAGGAGCCGACGCCCGTAGACCGCGGAGGGGGCGTCGGCTCCTAAGGGGGCAGCGAAGCTGAAAAGTCGTTGCGGAGCGAAAGGCAAAAGAGCGGCTCGCGGGGACTTTCGCGGATGAGTCTCACCGGTTCCCCCACCCGTTTCCTCCCAAAGGCACCTTGAGGAGAACGGCCTCTCCAGACTGACTTCACCTTTTGCGAAGAGATCGGACCCCCGCAGGCACATAAAGTGCCCGAAGTCACCGGGAATCGAGCGGATTTGTTCAAGATAAACTGTTGCTGTTGCATCTGCGCGCTTATTTGTGTAACGTTTCGGAAAGAGAACTGAATAAGTAGATGGAGACTTAAGAGGCTTTTGAAATGTTTGAAAGTTTGGTCTAAATCAGGGGCCTCCAACCTTCGCAACTTTAAGACTTCTGGACTTCAACTTCCAGAGTTCCTCCGCCAGCTATGCTGGCTGGAGAAATCTGGGAGTTGAAGTCCAGAAGTCTTAAAGTTGCCAAGTTTGGGGACCCTGGTCTAAATGATTAAGGCACCAGGCTACAAACCAGGAAGCAGTCCTGCTTTAGGCATGGAAACCGGCTGGGTGACATTGCCCAGTCACTCAAATCAGCTCAGAGGAAGGCAAATTGGGACGTTTGTTGCCTTGGGTTACTGATTTAAAGAAATGAAGGCAGGATATAAATAACTACCGTAACAATAAAGACATTCACCGATTCACCTTTAAGTTTAGCTGTACTTAAAATTAGCATACATTATATATTGCTGAAGTGGGAATAGGGTGCTTTTCAGATTTTCCTCTAATAAAAGCCATGTTTCTCTAAGCAAGATAGTTATGCGAGTTGTGCCCCATTTTACAACCTTTTTGCCACAATTGTTAAAACAAAACACTGCAATTGTTCAGTGAGCCATCTGGCTGTTAAGCAAATCTGGCTTCCCCCATTGCGTTTGCTTGCCAGAAGCCAACTGGAAAGGTTACAAATCACATAACCCTCTGGGATAGTGTAGCTGTCAATTGCTGAGCACCTGAATTTTGATCATGTGACCATGGGGATGCTGCAATGATTATGTGAAAATCAGTCATGTCTTTTTTCACTGCTGTTGTAAGTTTAAACAGTGACTAAATGGTTAATCAAGTACAACCAGTACACAAGGCATAGCCCTGTGTAACTACTAACATGGCCTGAGCTTCTCTAGGCCATAACTCCCAAGACAATTTCCCACAGAGAACAAGCAATTTTGATAATAGGTTTCTATGTTCTAGCATTCTTCTAAGCTACATAACCAGTGATGGGATTCAGCCGGGAAAACCAGTTGTTCACTGTCTGACCAGTTTGGCGAACTGGTTGTTGGAAGAACTCATTAGGGCAGAGAACCGGTTGTTAAATTATTTGAATCCTACCACTGTACATAACATATAGCTGCATCATACTAAGGATAGTGTGTTGAATATATATGGTTTTGGATAGCCCAAATGTAATGGGGGGGGGGATTCACAAGATCTTTCACAATTATTTTGAGAATAACCAGATAATCATATTATCAATGATAATGTACTGTCATGTGAAAAGCCAACTAAATATAAAAATCCATTACTAATTGGCCTTTGTCAAATGAAATCAGCATGTCAAATGAGATTTATAAACTTTGCCCCAATATGTATCATTTCATATTTACTAGTATATACCATTTTAATATCCATTCACTTTCTATGAACATGTTTCCTGTTGTCTTACCATTCTAAAATTAGGAAATGTTTTTCAGCATTCATGTCAATTAATTTATCCCTAGTTAAGATATATTCTTCCTAATGTAGATCTTTGAGAGCCAGCTCAGTATAGTGGCTAAGGCATTGGGCTAGGTATCTGAAGATCATGAGTTCTATTTCTGCTTTTGGCATAAAAATCACCAGAGTAACCTTGGGCCAGTCACTCTCTCTTAGGAGAGGAAGAAGAGAAAAACACTTCAAAAATCTTGCTAATAATACTGCAGGGATGATCACCATCAGCCACCATCAGCCATATGATCACCATCAGCCACAATTGACCTGAAGGCACAAAACAAAAATTGAACCATCGACACCTCCTACTGTTTGCCATTAAATATGCAATCATTCCTACTCTGCTTTCTGTTCTTTAACCAGGTTTCAGTTTATAAAATAATCCCCATAACTTCTTAAGTTTGCTTAAGGATCTTTGGTGACAGACTTTGTCAAAGGTCTTTTTGAAAATTGAAAATATATTTGTGGACAATGTCAAAACACTCTAAAAGATTATTGAGATAATGGCATTTTGCATGCTCCTATTGATTGCTTTTCAAGCAGGATATGACACTGCATGGTATTAGCTTTATGTTTAATCATGATTTCCACAAATGTACTCCATCTTTAGTTGTTTTATTGTGGTAACAATTACCTTCTGAAACAGCAGTGGATGATTATGGGCTACATGAAGCCATTTTTCTGTGAATCCCGAAACCCTCATGATTGCACGCCCTCCTTTTGAGTATATTTTATTTTTTTTATTTTCAAAATAATATATTAAGCCTAGTGTATGTTAGAAAACAGTGGCAAGCGAAGTAT